GTGGCTAAACCAAAGCCATGAAAGTTTGTGCCTTTTTCTCAGAAGCGGGGCCTACTTCACTACGACTCATTTCCTACGAAGGCACCTGCCATCGATCTGGGGCATGCTTGGTCCTCTAGCTCCCACCCCCTGCCTCATTCTCCACCAGCCTCAGAGCCTTCCCAATGCTAAAGTGGCCACAGAACCAGCTCCTCCCCTCCCAGTGATGACCAGGTTTTCTAGCCTTTCACTTCCAGACAGCTACCGCCTGGGCCTGCCTCACTGTCCCTGCCTCACCCACAGCCACGGCTCCTTATAGACACTCACACTATTGATTCAGTGTGCCCCCAGCAGCCAAGCTCTCTTAGCTTCTAATTCCTTACACACTCATCATTCTCTGCCTGGAGTGACACCCCCCCCCCAACACAGGCCATATTTCACCTCTCATGCAGTCTTCCTGGCCCCCACCCTCTGTGCCTCCTGGGTGCTCCAGAGAGGCTAGAGTACAAGGTGATAAGGATGGCAGTCACATGGAAGGTACACCCTGTGTGACAGACATTGTTGGGTAGACTTGGCCTGTCCTGACTCACTTAATGAACACAAGTGAAGGATTTCACACTACAGGCTTCAAGCCAATCTGCTAAAGGTCAAATTCTGGCTCCATCAATTAAATGTGAGCAAGTTGTTTGGACTTTCTGTGAAGAATAACAATAGCCTCTTCTTTTGGGGACTCTTGCAGGGTTTTCTAAGTAAAGCATTTAGTGTCTGTCACGTAGTCTCAATACATGTGACGTGGTGTGCATGATGATGTCACACACAGTTCTGTCAGCAGGTATCTAACTAGATTGAGCATTTCAAAGTTGACCATGTTTGTAAATCTTTATTTTCAACCTATAAAAGACTATCCCTCCACCTTTTATTGGACCTTTTAACACATATACGTTTTTCTAAATGAGTAAGTAGCTAGAGGCTGGGAAAAGTGGTGACTTGTGCTAATGTCACGTCACCTGTCAGCGACAGAGCTGAAGCTGCTCTGTGAGACTCCTGGGTTGTGCTCTGAACTCTTCTCAACCCAGTACCCCCTGAAACATTGTCAAGGATGGGGTGTAACTTTATCTGAGAGCCCAATGGTCCCTGAACAAAACATAGGGCTTCCCCAGGGCCCACTGTGAGCTCAGGACAGGTAGATTTGGTGTCAGCCCTCATTTGCCCTGAGAGACTTGTCTAATGCATCAAACAGCCTTTCTCTTTGAAAATCTGAAGCCCTGGGTAGCTAGCTTGAAGGTCGGGGCCAGCCATTTTGGCTGCTTCCTGATCTGTGTTGAGTTCCAGGCACTCTTCTGGCTTCCAGCAGTCAGTGGATTGGCCACAGTGAAATCCATTAGCCATCATAGAAGGGTTCTGTCCTTCTGCTCAGTATTGTCCTGTTCTTCCCCCTCACTCCTTTGTTTTAGAACTTCTGTTGTAAATGCTGAAGAGTCATCTCCATGGTGACATTTGATGCTTTATGGTTTATTCATTCATGTTCCTTTATCATTATTGTGGACTAGCAGCTACTGTTTGCAGGGTTGGGATGTAGATCTGTGGCAGAGTACTTGTCTAGCACATGTGAGGCCCTGGGTTTAGTCTGTGGCACTGGAAAGTAAGTAGTTACCATACAGTTAAAATGTTACATGCCAGGCACTGTGCTGAGCATCTGACACATAGCATCTCATTCAAATCTCAGAACAACCGTATACAGTGGACATTGTCTCTAGAAAGCAATCTTCAGAAAACTACAACTCTGAAGAAGTTCAGCACCTTGATAGACATCA